GGGGAAGCCCAGTGCAAGCTCGGGTATCCCATGCCGGTATACTCTTCTGATGAGAGTCTTCAATTTTTTAGCCTGGTGTAGTAGGAGATGGGTAGTTCTCTAAACTTGGTTACTCTGCGTAGTACGGCACCTGTTATTGATGCTGAGGACCCAGAAAGGGACCCCAATTCGGATAAACTACCCATATGGGGTTTCCGAACATAGGGGTACCCTTTTGTAAGGGTCCTTTAAGCGATTCGATTCTATTTGGGGGGGTATAAAAGGGCTACCCTAGTTTGGGAAATGCCCATCTTCATATGGGAGCTTACGAACTTAGGGGGACCCTTAATATAGATATAGACCCCCCAATAGTAGGATCCCCTATCAACAGGACCCCAATAAGGTACCTATACCCCTAACCCCTAACCCCTAACCCCTAAACCCTAAACCCTAAACCCTAAACCCTAAACCCTAAACCCTAAACCCTAAACCCTAAACCCTAAACCCTAAACCCTATAAAACCCCACTAACGTCGCGTTCTCCTGCACAGGATTTGCCGCAAAGAAACGCCCATGTGAGGGTTTAGGCGAAGCTGCCCCCAGGAGCCCTCCTACACGCGGCACGCGGAGCCCTGCAGCCCAGGCGCCGACCGGTCTAGGGTTCTGAAACCCGCCGCATCTCCTCTTCTTAAGGGAAGACTGCCGGGAGATGACCCTAAAACCCTAAACCCTAAACCCTAAACCCTAAACCCTAAACCCTAAACCCTAAACCCTAAACCCTAAGCCCTAAACCCTAAACCCTAAACCTTAAACCCTAAACCCTAAACCCCAAACCCTAAACCCTAAACCCTAAACCCTAAACCCTAAACCCTTCACACGGAGTTTAGGGTTCACGCCGTGGGCTTCTGTGGCTGCTCTTTGAGTCTTACGAGGCCCTCGGGCACCGCGGTCTCCCCCACGGAGCACGTCCGAGCTGGTGCGCCGGGCCTTTGTTCCAAACCCTCGGAGGGATTTTGCGTAGGGTTTAGGGTTTAGGGTTTAGGGTTTAGGACTTAGGGTTTAGGGTTTAGGGTTTAGGGCTCAAGGGTTTAGAATAATTTTCGGGCTCAAGGGTTTAGGGTTTAGGGGCTTAGGGTGTAGGGCTCAAGGGATCCGGAGACTTGAGTAAGCCCTCATCAATGAAGCTCCTGCCAGCCCTTCTCCGGGCCCGCGCGCGACACCGGCAGCGCGACCCCAAGCTTTCCGGCATGCTCGGCCAGGAGATCTGCAGCTCAGGCCCTAACCCCTTGACCCCGAAGCCCCTAAGCTTCGAACTCTGAACATCTTTCTGAGAGGCTTTGAAGGACCAGCTTAGCGTTAATACGTTCCCTATGAGCCCGATAAGCCTTACAGGGCGGGTCTTTAGGGTCTACGCCTACCTCAATGAATCAAAGGCGTTGCAGAGGCGGCTTCGGCCTCCTTTCAGCCCCGGTCGCTCCAGGCCTGACGGGGACTTGGTTAGGGGTTTTCTTGTTGTGGGCTTGTAGGGAATGAAGGAATGTGGCATGATTCATCGGCCTGGAGGGTGGGGTTTCGAGGGCTGAGACTGTGTGGGATATAGGGTTTAGGGTTTAGGGTTTTGAGTTCATGTAGGTTTGGCCAAATAACCCTCGACCTCGCAACGTTCTGCAGGTCCCGAGTGGAGGTGGCCGCCCCGAGCGACGCCGGCGCGACGAGGCTCCCCTGGTGTTCCTTGTGGGTTTAGGGTTTAGGGTTTAGGGTTCGCAGGCTCGGGCTCGAGGGCGCAGCATGAGACTGCATGTGGGTTTTGGCGGTAGGGAATAAGGTTTAGGGTTTGGGTTTGTTGGTTTCTCTTCTGGACTTGGGTTTGAGGTTGAGGGCTTTGAGGAGCTAGGCTCCGCTTTTCTCGTTATTAAGGCTGAAATAGATACAGGCTACATGGTTGGGTTGCGGCGCTTAAACTTTGCTCAGGGCAGGACGGCAGGGTTGAAGCCTTCGATTCCCAAAAGCTCCTAAACCCTAAACCCTAAACCCTAAACCCCAAAAGCTCCTGCGAGTCGCAGGACGACGGTGGGCACACGCCGCTCCAGGAGCACAGGCAACGGTGGGGCTCGACGAGCGCGGCCCACATTTTGTTTGGGTATGACAGATGCATACTACAGATAGTTATACACACATACATGTATACATATATATATATATATGTATAGATATGTATTCATACATACATGTACACATATATATATATACACATGCGTATGTATACAAACTTTCATATGTACATATCCATTCTTTTCAGATTACCGAGGGACTCATGACTCATCAGGAGATAGTCGGATGCCGTGGGCACCCGAATCCAGAGCTGGCAGAGAGGTTTCGTGCTTCGGGTTTAGCGTTAAGGTTTCGGTTTTTGGGGTTTAGGGTTTAGGGTTTCGGGTTCAGGGTTTCGGGATTTTGTTTCCCTCTCGGCCCAGCAAGCTTCTGTTCCCGTGGTCGCCTCATGCTGGCAGCAGGGTGCTGCCAGAGCTGCTTTCCTCCATGCCCAGTAGGAACCCAGGTATCCTTTTGTTGTGCAGCTGGCAGTGCCAGCTGCCTAAACCCTAAACCCTAAACCCTAAACCCTAAACCCTAAACCCTAAACCCTAAACCCTAAACCCTAAACCCTAAACCCTAAACCCTAAACCCTAAACCCTAAACCCTAAACCCTAAATCCACATTCCAGTGCCATCACCGCGCTTTTTGCTTTTCCTCTTCGGTCAGTGGCCCCCGGGGCCCAGGTGTAGCCAAAAACCCGAAATCATCCGAAACCCAAACCCGAAACCCAAACCCAAAGTGTAAACCCTAAACCCTGAACCCTAAACCCTAAACCCTAAACCCTAAACCCTAAACCCTAAACCCTAAACCCTAAACCTAAACCCAAAACCCTAAACCCTAAACCCTAAACCCGAACTCGCCCGAAACTACTTCGTGTGAAGTCTCTGAGCTGCCAGGGCTGTGGCCGGACGCTTCGAAGCAACCCCCTCGAGGTGGCGAGGGATGTCGAGATGTTCTTAAGATCTGGCACGGATGGCCCTGAACCCTAAACCCTAAACCCTAAACTTCCTAAACTTCCTAAACTTCCTAAACTTCCTAAACCCTAAACCCAAAACCCTAGACCCTAAACCCTAAACCCTAAACCCTAAACCCTTAAACCCTAAACCCTAAACCCAAAACCCTAAACCCTAAACCCTAAACCCTAAACCCTAAACCCTAACTTTAAACCCTAAACTCTAATCCTGATCCTATTGCACAGCTTTCAGCAACGAACCAGCTGATGCCGATGATGCTCCCGTCGTGGCCCCGTCATGGCCCCCTGAAGGCCAGCAAGGAACCAGCTGATGCCGATGATGCTCCCGTCGTGGCCCCCTGAAGGCCAGCCCGGAACCAGCTGATGCCGAGGATGCTCCTGTCATGGCCCCCTGAAGGCCAGCAACGAACCAGCTGATGCCGATGATGCTCCCGTCGTGGCCCCTTGAAGGCCAGCAAGGAACCAGCTGATGCCGATGATGCTCCCGTCGTGGCCCCCGGAAGGCCAGCAAGGAACCAGCTGATGCCGATGATGCTCCCGTCGTGGCCCCTTGAGGCCCAGCAAGGAACCAGCTGATGCCGATGATGCTCCCGTCGTCCCGTCGTGGCCCCTTGAAGGCCAGCAAGGAACCAGCTGATGCCGATGATGCTCCTGTCATGGCCCCCTGAAGGCCAGCAACGAACCAGCTGATGCCGATGATGCTCCCGTCGTGGCCCCCTGAAGGCCAGCAAGGAACCAGCTGATGCCGATGATCCCGTCGTGGCCCCCGGAAGGCCAGCAAGGAACCAGCTGATGCCGATGATGCTCCCGTCGTGGCCCCTTGAAGGCCAGCCATGGCCCTGAAGGCCAGCAAGGAACCAGCTGATGCCGATGATGCTCCTGTCATGGCCCCCTGAAGGCCAGCAACGAACCAGCTGATGCCGGTGATGCTCCCGTTGTGGCCCCCTGAAGGCCAGCAACGAAGCAGCTGATGCCGATGATGCTCGCGTCGTGGCCCCTTGAAGGCCAGCAAGGAACCAGCTGATGCCGATGATGCTCCTGTCGTGGCCCCTAGAAGGCCAGCAAGGAACCAGCTGATGCCGATGATGCTCCCGTCGTGGCCCCTTGAAGGCCAGCCAGGAACCAGCTGATGCCGACGATGCTCCCGTCGTGGCCCCTTGAAGGCCAGCAAGGAACCAGCTGATGCCGATGATGCTCCTGTCATGGCCCCCTGAAGGCCAGCAACGAACCAGCTGATGCCGATGATGCTCCCGTCGTGCCCTGAAGGCCAGCCAGGAACCAGCTGATGCCGACGATGCTCCCGTCGTGGCCCCTTGAAGGCCAGCAAGGAACCAGCTGATGCCGATGATGCTCCTGTCATGGCCCCCTGAAGGCCAGCAAGGAACTAGCTGGTGCCGATGATGCTCCCGTCGTGGCCCCTTGAAGGCCAGCAAGGAACCAGCTGATGCCGATGATGCTCCTGTCAAGGCCGAGGCCAGCAAGGAACCAGCTGATGTCGATGATGCTCCCGTCGTGGCCCCTTGAAGGCCAGCAAGGAACCAGCTGATGCTGATGATGCTCCTGTCATGGCCCTGAAGGCCAGCAAGGAACCAGCTGATGCCGATGATGCTCCTGTCATGGCCCCCTGAAGGCCAGCAACGAACCAGCTGATGCCGATGATGCTCCCGTCGTCCCGTCGTGGCCCCCTGAAGGCCAGCAACGAAGCAGCTGATGCCGATGATGCTCGCGTCGTGGCCCCTTGAAGGCCAGCAAGGAACCAGCTGATGCCGATGATGCTCCCATCGTGGCCCCCTGAAGGCCAGCAAGGAACCCAGCTGATGCCGATGATGCCCCCTTAAAGGCCAGCAAGGAACCAGCTGATGCCGATGATGCTCCTGTCATGGTCCCCTGAAGGCCAGCTGATGCCGATGATGCTCCCGTCGTGGCCCCCTGAAGGCCAGCAAGGAACGCAGCTGATGCCGATGATGCTCCCGTCGAGGCCCCCTGAAGGCCAGCAAGGAACCAGCTGATGCCGATGATTCTCCCGATGATGCTCCCGTCGTGGCTTTCTGAAGCCCGCCAATGCATTCCCAATAATCCCTACATTGCCTTTAGAAGCAAGAATATGTTTTTACTTTTTCGGGGGGGGGGGGGGGGGTTTTGAAGCAAGTAGTAGTGCAGCTGCTCCTCGCAGGACGCCGACGCGCGCGCCCTCGGCGAATGGTCGGGGCGTGGAGCGAAACTACGAAGGTCCCAAGGCCCAAGAGAGGTTTTGGTTTTGAAGGGTTTAGGGTTTAGGGTTCAGGGTTCAGGGTTTTAGGGAGTTACAGGGTTTTGTGCATGTTTTCCTGGCTTAAGGAAGGGGCTTTCAGGGGTTTAGTTAAAAGGAAGTTCTAAGGTACAAGTGTTCAAGGGTTTACAGGGTTCAAGGGTCGGGGCTTCGGGATTGTTGGGGTGTTTCTAGTAGGGTTCCAAGAGGCTTGAGAGCTGTGGGCTTGTTGCGTGATGCTTATCGCTATAGGCTTGCGCCCTAAATCCTAAACCCTAAATCCTAAACTGCACCCGAAAACCAAAACCCTAGGCCCTAAATCCTATCCGGCCCTAACTTGCTCCAAGCCAGGTGCGGACTCGCTCCATCGACGTGGCGCGAGGTATCACTTTCAACGGCTCGGGCCCAAGGTTTTTGAGGCCTTTCGGGGTTCCAGGGGGTTTCGGGTTTAGGGTTTAGGGTTTCGGGTTCAGGGTTTCGGGCCTGATAGGGTTCGTTGGTGTAGGCTTGAGGGGGCAGTGGGGTCTTCAGGCCTTCAGGGGGGCCCTTAGGGCCCTCGGCGCCGTGCGATATTGGGCTGCTCAGCTGTTGGGCTCTGGTGTAGGAGTGGGAGTCGGTCGGGAGCCGGGCTGGGAGTGGGTTTAGGGTTTAGGGTTTAGGGTTTAGGATTTAGGGTTTAGGTTTGGGGTTTGGGGTTTAGGGCTTAGGGTTTAGAATCGAAAGCCAAACGAAGCAGATGGAAGCTTCTCGATAGTTTTGGGATTAGAGCTGACCCTGAACTCTCGGGTCAGAGGCGGGGGTTTACGAAAATCAGGGCCCTCCGAATACGGACCCCAGTAAGGTAACCCTACTGTCGGAAGCCCCCCATGTGCTGCGGGAAAGGATGCTTCTGTGACAGCTGAGGCAGCAACTCCGACCGGGTGGCGATGGCACGCAGAGGGCAGGCTGCACAGAGGCTTGGGTTTCGGGTTTCGGGTTTCGGGTTTCGGGTTTCGGGTTTCGGGTTTCGGGTTTCGGGTTTCGGGTTTAGGGTTAGGTGGCTGCCACTGTGCCACGAGACAAAGCTTGTGATGCAGCAGCTTAAGCCCCTAAACCCTATTTTGCTGTATATTGTGGCCTTTCCGCAAGTGCTCCACTTAGGGAGCGCACTCCTGCGTGTTTCGAGGGTTTAGGGTTTAGGGTTTAGGGTTTAGGGTTTAGGGTTTAAAGTTTAAACCTTGCATATAGACTTAGAGGTTTACAGGATTTAGAGGGCTCATGTGTAGTCTTGGTTTTGCCAGATGCAGGCCTCCACCTGTCGAGGATGACTGTGCAGAATACTCCGACCGCTTCCTGCCAGGCAACATTGGGGTGTGGGGTTGAGGGTTTAGGGTTTAGGGTTTAGGGTTTAGGGTTTAGGGCATAAACACTAGACTGTCCTTGGGGTGAAGGGTTGAGGCTTATGTTTTTTTTGGGAGGGTTGCCCAGGCTTGGTGACGGCGGTTTAGGTCCAGGGAAATTGAAGCAGAGGACTTTTCTGGGCAGTCGAACGGACATGGGCAGTATGGCAGCTCTCGTCTACAGTGGGGTATGTCGCCCGAAAGCTACACAATGCTACACACGATCCGCCCTCAGCTCTCTCACCGAGCCCGAGCCTGAATCATCCGGAGCAGGCTACGAGAAGTCACAGCTCTTGGGCCGGGGTGCCTGTGCGGTGCGCGACCCAGAGGTTCATGGCTTCGGGTTTAGGCTGAGTGAGTTGGCGCTGGAAGGTCGGCGGGGGGGAGGTTGCCCTTCAGAAGATGTAGGGTAGTTGAGGGGTACAAGCTGGGGGTTGCATGGCACTACGTACCCGAAGTTTGCGGCTGTTCTTGCTGGCATGGGGTGGGGGGTAGCGTATCGACAGCAGTAAGTCGAAAGAGCAGAAGCAATATTCATCGTAGGCCTTCTCCACAAGACTAGTAGGGACCTCCCCCGCCCCCCCCCCCCCCTGACTTTGTAGCTTTCGGGGGAGCGGTGTGGCGCGTCAAGGTTGTGTGGCTGGCGATGCCTAGTGGCTCGACGACGCCCGTGGCGATCAAGCAGGCAGGTGGCTCAGGGTTTAGCTTGGGGTTCAAGAATGTTACTACGGCCTCAAGAAGCTGTGAAGAGAGACCCCCTCACTTCGACACGAGATGTCCATGCCTGTGCGCCTTCGACGTAGCCATGTGTAGAGTGGAAATGCTTGCTCGGCATCCCTAAACCCTAAACCCTAAACCCTAAACCCTAAACCCTAAACCCTAAACCCTAAACCCTAAACCCTAAACCCTAAACCCTAAACCCTAAACCCTAAACCCTAAACGTTGGTCGATAAGGTTGCCAAGGGCACGACGGGCAAGAAGAGGTCCGACACCGAGGCATGCCTGCTATCTGAAGGTTCAGGGTCTGGGGTCTGGGTTTTGGGTTTAGGGTTTAGGGTTTAGGGTTTAGGGCAGGGGCTGTAAGCAGCATCCTTTTGCAAGAGGTGCCAGAGCAATTTTTGGACGTCCTGCTTGTACTTCTGTTCTTTTGGAGGCTTCACGTCCTGTGAAGCAGCTTGCAAAGCCAGGCCCTAAACCCTAAACCCTAAACCCCAAACCCTAAGCCCTAACCCCTAAACCCTAACCCCTAAAACCTAAACCCTAAGCCCTAAACCATCCTAAACCCTAAACCCCAAACCCGTAAACCCTAAACCCTAAATTGCAAAGCCAGGCTGCAAGGAAGGAGATCCTGTTTGGAACCTACTTCTTTGATGCCCGACACCCCAGGATTGTGAGTTCAGTGCGCGGGGATGCAGGGCGAAATTTCTAGCACATTGGGTTGTATGGGTGTCCGAGTCTTTTCAAGCAGTCGTATATAATCTTGTAACTGTAACGTCTCTTACGAAGTAAGCTCCTTTTTTTCAAGGTTATATAGGCCCCCTTACGCTCCATAAAGCGGATGACAATCTGATACCGACCCGAAATACTTGCTGTAACTGAATAGGCCCCTATACTACACCCCTAAAGCCCAAAGAGGTCCCAACCTTGACAACAGCATATAGCAATGAGATTTAGGGTTTGGGGTTTAGGGTCGTTTAGGGTTTAGGGTTCAGTCAAACGACCAAGCCCAAAGACACCTCGAGCCTTACACCCCGGAACCCCCTACAACTTAAACCCTTTCAGGAGCCCTAAACCTCTTATCAAAAGCAAGCCTCAACCCTAAACCCCTTTAAGGGGTTCTGGGTTTTCAGACCCATAGGCACCGCTACGCCTGGGTCTAGCCGCGCCTGCAAGAGGCGTAAGGGCATGGAAGCCACCAAAGTACCCAGAATTGCCACACGAGTTCCTTCAGAGGGGGGGTGCACACGGCTATTTTTACTTGCGAAACCCTAAACCCTAAACCCTAAACCCTAAACCCTAAACCCTAAACCCTAAACCCTAAACCCTAAACCCTAAACCCTAAACCCTAAACCCTAAACCCTAAACCCTAAACCCTAAACTCTGGTGAATCGATGCACTGGGAAGATAGACTGCTCGAGAGGCGGTGCAGGTTTCTGAAGGGAAGCTGCCGGAAAGCGCGCATTTTATCCTTTCTCGACGGTGTCGAAGGGCGGCTAGACGGCTGGTGGAAGGGCCACACCCTAAACCCTAAACCCTAATCCCAAACCCTAAACCCTAACCCCAAACCCTAAACCCAAAACCCTAAACCCTAAACCCCTAAGATCCTGAACCCCAAAAACCCCAGGCCGGCGGCGAGCCGAAGGTGTCCCCGAAGCAGAACCCAGGCCTCCAGCTCGGGGTTAGGGGTTAGGGGTTAGGGGTTTAGGGTTGAGGTTTGAGGGTTTAGGTTTAGGGGTTAGGGGTTTAGGCTTGAGGTTTGAGGGTTTAGGGTTTTAGGGTCTAACTAGGGTTTTGAGGTCGGGGCTCAAGACCTCCGAACCCCCTAGAGCTTTTCAACCAGGAAGGTTTACTATGGTTGAAGAGGGTTTGATGCTTGAGATTTCCTCATCCGCAAGCCCAAAGCCCTTTTAGATCCCGTGGTCCCGGTTTAGGGTGTTTGGCGTGCTGAGGAGGGGTCTTATTAGGGTTTGCAAAGAGTTCAAAAGTAAGATACGGTTTAGGGTTTTGGGTTTAGGCTTTAGGGTTTGGCAACCTGCAGCCGCTCAGCGGCTTGGGAGTTTAGAGTTTCGGGGTTAGGGCCAGCCTTCCCCCCCCCCCCCTCCACACCCCCACGTGCAGGCATCGCCCACATTGCGAAGCTGTTGGACTACGTGGAGACGAAGCGCGACATTTGGCTGGTCATGGACCGCTGTTCTGGTCATCCTATAGCTTTTTTGCTGCCAGCGTGCCTGCAGGTCAGCATGGCCCTCTGATCTCCTATGTGGGGGTTTACGAAAACAGGGTTCCCTTAAATCAGGCCCCGCCCCAAAAGGTACCCCTAATTTCGGAAACCCGATTGTAAACTTGCACATGGTATTCTGGCATTCGCGCTGCTTTGTTGCAGGAGTATGGGGGCACCTCCCTGACGAAGATGGCTCCCCGATGGCAAGAAACGTCTGAGCACCCCGTGAGAGCCCTTTCCGACACCATGATGGCCCAGAATCATGGACCCTTAAACCCTAAACCCTAAATCCTAAACCCTAAACCCTAAGCCCGAAACCTAAACCCTAAACCCTTTAAGACCCCAAAGCCCCTCTTGTAAGCTGAGGCGTACGAGATCAAGGGCGAGTTCCACCGAGGGGAGCGCCTGTACAAGGCCCCGAGCCCTAAATCCCAAACCCTAAACCGTAAACCCTATATACCCTGAACCCTATGTACCCTCAACCCTATATATCCTAAACCCTAAACCCTAAACCCTAAACCCTATTTTCCCTGAACCCTATGTACCCTCAACCCCATATACCCCAAACCCTCGACCTCCAGCCCCTGTTGAGTGTTGAAGGGGGGTTTCCTGATTTTTGGGGGGGTTGCTCTGCACGAGAATGCCTCCTTGAGTTGCAGCGCATGGAAGGCATTCTCTTACACCTTGGGGTTTAGGGTACCATCAAAAACGCAGAACGTATGTCACGCCAAACTGAACGTCAAAAGATCCCAAGCCAACCCCTTCCCAACAAAACACTTGATTCACAATTCGGTAGAAGCCATTGCTTTTTTTTGTGGGGTGTGGGGAGGTTTCGGGGTAGCCGCGCAGCCTAAAGCAAAAGTGGGTCCTGCGGTTCTTAGGCTCAGGGCTTTCACCCTAAGCCTTAAACCCTAAACCCTAAACCGAAACCCTGAACCCCACACCCTCAACCCTAGGGTTTAGGGTCTCAGGTTCAGAGGCTTCCCGTCAAGCTGTGTGACAGTCCCCTCCGCGCCAGGTGGTCCACTTGCCACTCTACGAGTCCATGCCCCTTGCCTTGCGGTTCAGGGTTTAGGGTGTAGGGTTTAGGGCACAGGGTTCAGGATACTGGATGGGGATGTTCTAAGGCTTTTTTCGGAGTACTTGTGCAGCACCCTCCAAACCCTAAGCCCCAAAGCCAAAGCCTACAGCCCTTCAACCCAGATTCCTTAAGCTCCAGGCCGCCACATCCCGAAACCCTGCCCCCACCCCACCTCTTCTCAAAGCCCCGGCTGTGAGGGGGTTTAGTAGGGTTTTCGCTGAGAGGGGTCGTTTTTTTGGAGGGCCTGCTTTGAGGTGTTGTTTAATAAGGGATCTTGCTGCACAAGATACCTATATGGGGCCCAGCCCTAAGCCCAACCTCAACTCCACCTGCAAATTCAAGTCCATTTCATCCAGTCCATCTTGTCAGGAAGCAGGATCCGAGAGTGCTCAAGGCCCGGTGCCAGGAGGGGTTTGGGATTGGGGTTTGGGGTTTTGGGTTTTGGGCGCCTAGGATGTGACTTTCGGTGTCAACTGAGGCTGAGGGTGAACGATTTCTGTGTCGACGAGTCGCAACAACTCAAGCGCATGCAATAGACTGCCGCCCCCAAACCCAGACCTAAACTCAGGCAGCCCATCTGCCTAGGAATATAAGACCGCTTGCCAAAAGAAATGCTCAAGGTTGCAATGTCCTCTGAGCCCTGAATTCTACACCCTGCACTTCAAACCCTAAACCCTAAACCCTAAACCCTAAACCCTAAACCCTAAACCCTAAACCCTAAACCCTAAACCCTAAACCCTAAACCCGAAACCCCTCTTCTCTAAACCCTAAGCCCCTATCCCCCAATCCCCCTGAAGCAAGGCGGTGCTTCGTCAGCTTCTGTCGGCCCTCTGCCTCTTCTCGGAGCCTTAGGGTTTAGGGTTTAGGGTTTAGGGTTTAGGGTTTAGGGTTTAGGGTAAGCCTCAAGCCTTAAGCCTTACACCCGACAGTTTAAACTGCAGAGCCGAAGCCTGGCCAGGAGCATCGCGTGGTTCACTCCGACATCAAGCCGGACCGCGTGAGAGTTTCAGGGTTTAGGGTTCAGGGTTTAAGGGTTAAGGGTTTGGGGTTCAGGGTTTAGGGTTTAGGGTTTAGGGTTGTGGTTTGGGGATCTTGGCTTAGGGGTTGGTTTAGGGGTTGGTCATGTAAGCTCCTCAGCAGCCAGAACTGACCAATCCAGGCACCCAAATCTCCGAGCCAAAAACCCTCTTAAACGCAGTTGAAGTAGTGCGAGCCCAGTTCCGCCGAGTCTGCCTTGTTCAAGTAGCTGCGCGAGACAAGCCACAAGGGGGGGGCGCGAAAAGGGGGCCTGTGAGGCGACGGAGAACTCATGCCGTGGGCTTTTGACAAGGCTGCCCCCTGTTATTTAGGGTACCCAAGAAAAGGGTCCTAATTATGAGACCTCACCACATATATGTTAAGTCATTGCCCCTCTTATTTAGGGTACCCAAGAAAAACTCTGTTTCACCTTCATCGCACAGACTTCGGTCCGCATACCCAAGAAAAGGATCCTAATTATGAGACCTCACAACATATATGTTAAGTCATGTCATGTTGTTGGCTGCGCAGGACAACATTCTCATAGACGAGGACGACCGTGGCCATACAAGAGCTGGCAGCCCAACGGAGAGCATGGCGGTTTCTTGCTAGCCCATTGCTAGGGTTTAGGGTTTAGGGTTTAGGGTTTAGGGTTTAGGGTGTAGGGTTTAGGGTTTAGGGTTTAGGATTCAGGGTTGAGGGTTTAGGGTTTAGGGTGAGTTGCACTGACGTGTGATTCATCCTTCCCGAAATTGCGACACTCCTCAAGCCGTCACTTAAACTTCACAGCCTTACACCCCACCCTAAACCCTAAACCCTAAACCCTAAACCCTAAACCCTAAACCCTAAACCCTAAACCCTAAACCCTAAACCCTAAACCCTAAACTCTAAACCCTAAACCCTAACCCTAAACCCCTAAACCCCTAAACCCCTAAACCCCTACCCCCCTAAACCCCAAACCCGAAACCCTAAACCCGAAACCCGAAACCCGAAACCCTAAACCCTAAACCCCTAAACCCTCAACCCTAAACCCTAATCCTAAACCCGAAACCCTAAACCCTAAACTCAGCCCCCCAAACGCCCTGAAACCAGAGCCCGCGACGAGGCCCGGTTTATCGACCTCGGGAGCGCCTTCTCCTTCGACTCACCCGGCGTGGGAACTTGGGGGTCTGGGGGGTTTAGGGTTTGGGGTTTAGGGTTTAGGGTTTAGGGTTGAGGGTTTAGGGTTTCGTGTTTCGGGTTCAAAAGCGTTTTTTTTTTTTTTTTCTTCCGAACTTAGGTACCTTTTTGGGGTAAGAGGATTCTGCTACTTGGGGATCTACATTGGGGTCCCCACGCCCCCATGGACCGGGCAGGGTTCAGGGGAGGGTTTTGAGGGGCCCTTAGGGTTTAGGGTTTAGGGTTTAGGGTTTAGGGTTTAGGGTATTAAGGGCTCCCCTGCCGATGCTGCTCATAGCCAGGCCCTACCCAAAGCTCTCCGAAACTGTGCTCGTAACCCCAAAGCCCTAAATCCTGAACCCTGTCAACCCAGGGGCCCAACAAACCCCCAATAATCCCTCAGACCTTAAACCCTAAACCCTAAACCCTAAACCCTAAACCCTAAACCCTAAACCCTAAACCCCGATAATCCCTGAGAACAACGCCCAAGCGCCTGAGGCAGCCTGTCCGTGGCGACGCCGGAGTACATGCCGCACGAGGCGAACCTTCGATTCGACACGGTGGAAGTTTGTTTAGGGTTCGGGGTTCTCAGGGTTTAGGGTTTAGGGTTTAAGGTTTGGGTTTTTAGGGTCGTTGGTTTGAGGACTTCAGGGTTTAGGGTTTCGGGTCTGGGGTTGGAGGGCCTTTGGGTTGATGGTTTTGGTGCTTAGGGTTTGGACTGGCGTTCAGGGCATGGGGCTCAAGGCTTCGGTGTTTTTTTCGCCGGTAGTGCATACGGTTCCGGGGTCTAGGCTTGAGGGCTTTAGTCTCTAAACGCTAAACACCAAACCCTAAGCCCTAAGCCCTAAACCCTAACACCTACACCGCACATTAGTGTGCCTGTGCTTCCGCCATGCTTCGGACGCCCTTTCGTTCTCCCATGCTCGGGGGGGCTTCGGCATCAGGCGCGTCGAAGGACGATGTAGCAAGAAGAGCCGGTTCCAGTGGAGAATCTCTAGGGGCGGAGATCGGCCTGCCCCTCTTCGCGTTCCCGCCCGCGCTGCAAGCAGAGCTCCTGAGCCTCTACGCCATGTGGCTCCAGCTTGGGCGGGCTGCGATACACTCAGATTCTGCACTGAACCAGTTGGTGGAGCAAGCTCTTGAAGGGTACATGGAGGCGTACCACGGCGAGAGGTTTGTGAACCCCGCTGTCACCTGCACCAAACTCCTGTCGTACAAGCCAACTTGCTTAAACCCACTTATATGCACCCATGCACCTCCCTGAACACCCAAACCCCCGAAACCCTCAACCCCTAAAGCACCTAGACCCAAAGCCTTTAAGAACCCTACACCCGAACTCCCTAGCCCAGAAACAGGCTGTTCAATCCTAAGCCCCGAAACCCTAAACGGCTTAATCCCCCCCCCCCCGGATGAACACGCTGTTAAAGCGCCCCTAAGCCCCTGCCCGCCAGGCCCCGAAGCCCCTAAGCCTTAAACCCATAGCTAAGCCCCTAAGCCCCTAAGCCCTAAGCCCCTACGCCCCTAAGCCCCCAAGCCCCTAAGCCCCTAGGCCCCTAAGCCCCTAAGCCCCTAAGCCCCTGAGCCCCTAAGCCCCTAAGCCCCTAAGCCTCGAAGCCCTCTAACCCTAAACCCTAAACCCCAAACCCTAAACCCCCCTAAGCCCCTAATCGACCCGCCCTCTCCCCCGCCCATCCACAACTTTCAGGGCCTGGAGGTGTGCGCAGTGGGGCGCAACCTTGGAGGCAGGGCCGAGAACCTGCAGTTTAGGGTTTAGGGTTTGGGTTTAGGGTTTAGGGTTTAGGGTTTAGGGTTTAGGGTTTAGGGCTTAAGGTTTAGGCTTTAGGGTTTAGGGTTTAGGGTTTGGGGTTTAGGGTTTAGGGATGGGTTGCAAGTGCTTGAAACCCTGAACCCTCCAAACCCCCAAACCCTCAAACCCTCAAGGCCTCAAACCCTCAAGCCTTCAGACCCTGAAACCCCTAAACCCTTAAACCCTTAAGTCCTTGAAGTCTTAAACCCTTAAAAACCCTCAGCCTTCGCTCAAGGCCCAAGTGACCTTTCTCCCGAGACAGTCATTCCCCTCCTTCTCGTTTGGGGGGAAGATGAAGTCTGAAGCCGAGGGCGTTTAGGGTTTAGGGTTTAGGGTTTAGGGTTTAGGGTGCTCAGCAATCAGCCTCTGAAACCCCGGATGGAAACACTGCAAGCCTGGACCCTACCTCCCTCGGTGTGTTTGCAGTGTGAGTGCGAGGCTCATGAGATTTCCATAGCTTCAAGACACGCAAGCCGCTGGTGTGTGAACCGATCCCTACATGAATCCTTCATCCTAACGGCCTATTGTGTGGTGTTGAAGCCCTGACATTCGAGCCCAAGTATCAAAGACTGTTAATGCCCTTTACCGACAGTTTTTCGAGGGCGCAGGGGTATTCAGCCTCACCAACAGACGGGTAGACGGGTATGGGAGTTGGCAGGCAGTCCGGAAATGCATTCGCAAAGCCTCCCTTTCACCCATTGGAAGATGGGTTTAGATTTTGTGAAAGTCTCGCGTGCAGCTCGGTTACACCTCCCAGCAACGTCTGCCGGACATGCTAGGGCTGAGGCCGCTTATGCTGAGGGATAACGTTTTGCGCGGGGTTTTGCGTGGCATCTTCTGTAATGTGGGCAACTGCATGGCAGCCGAAACACCCTGACCCCAAGTTCGGAAATCCTAAACCCCAAGCCCCCTAAATCCTAAACCCTAAACCCTAAACCCTAGACCCTAAAGCCTAAACCCTAAACCCTAAACCCTGAACCCTAAACCCTAAACCCTAAACCCTGAACCCCAAACCCTCCTAAGCCCAAAAGTCATGCAGGCGCGAGGATGACCCATGGCGGCCGAGCTGCAGGAGGAGGCCGACCCGGGATCGGAGTGCTAGGACGTGTTGGGTTTAGGGTTTAGGGTTTAGGGCTTAGGGTTTAGGGTTTAGGGTTTAGGGTTTAGGGTTTAGGGTTTAGGGTTTAGGGATTAGTGGGTTAAGATGGGTTTGGGGTTTAGGGTTGGGGTCTCGGTTTTAGGGTTTAGGGGTTAGGGGGTTCAGATGGGTTTAGGGTTTGGCATGGAGGGGTGTGGGGTCTCGGATTTAGGGTGTTAGGGCGCTAGGGTGTTAGGGTGTTGCAGGTGTTAGGGTGCAAGGATTCAGGGTTTCGGGCATTGGGGTTCCCTAAGCCCTAACCCTCTGCCCTCTGTATGGTTCAGGGGCTTGAGGGCTTTCGGCAGATCTCGACATCAATCCCCAGGCATCCATGCTCCAGCAGGGGTTTAGGGTTTCGGGTTCATGATGATTATGACCGGGGTAAGGGACTGAGGTTGGGTCACAAGCTTGACCTCGCTAAGGGAGATGAACCATTTTACGGGTGCTTTCCCTTTTGTATAAGTTCTTGGTGGAAATGAGGAGCCACTGTTGAAGCAATGGCAATGGAAGTCTGCCGAGTTCCTTACTTCAACTAAGACAATCATCGCCCCCCTGATCCCCTAACAGCCCCAAACCCTTGACCTTCAAACCCTACCCCCTAAACCCTTAAATCCTAAACCCTAAACCCCAAACCCCAAACCCTAAACCCTAGACCCCACACCCTATGCCTCTATGCGTCGCGAGGCCCTCCCGCGACCGGGAAGTCTGTCGACTCTCTGCAGCGCCAGCCGGGGCCTTGCAAAATGGGGGTTTACGAAAATAGCGTACCCTAACAAGGACCCCCTCACTAGTAGGATCCCCTTATATGAAGAACCCCAATAAGGTACCCATTAATAGTAGGATCCCCTTAGAATAAAGAACCCCAATAAGGTACCCCCCCGATTATCGTAAACCTTCCAAATGTCTCGGCGAGGGCGGGAGGCTTTCGGTTCTTGGGGTTTGGCGGCTGCCGGGCTCTCCGAAAATAAGTTTTCCTTCGTGTTCCTTCTACATGTGGCTGCCGTAGCGAGGTCCCTGCAGACCTTGACCTTAAGCCACAAAGGCTCGGCCTTATGCCGAAGCCCTGAAAATCAAGCCGTGAGAACACAGCCTGTGGCCTGTAAACCTGGTCGTCTCAACATCCGTGTACTCTTAGTAGCCCTAAACCCTAACCCTAAAACCTAAACCCTAAACCCGGTATTACATGCGTGAGGGAGTTTCTCGCGACACGTGGCATTGCACTGTGGGACACAAGGTCGCAACCATGGTCGTTCGACATGTCCCAGCCTCAAAAACAGCAGGGGTTTAGGGTTTGGGGTTTAGGGTTTAGGGTTTAGGGTTTAGGGTTTAGTGTTTAGGGCGATTCGGGTTTGTTGTGGCACCCTTTCGACATGGCATACAGGCTTTTAGCCATTTTTGGGCTTGGCTTCCGGGCACGCAGGTATCTTGAGTGTTGTGAGAGCTTCTGGAAGTTTCGGTCTTTGGAGGATGTGGGTGCGAGTTGTGGTTCCAGTGTAGCTTTGGATGCCTGGCGGATAAGCACAGACCGAACCGCCCCCCCTCTCCACGGAACCCTGAACCCAGGCACCCCTAAACCCTTAAAACACAAAACTCCTCGCCCTGACATTATTTTAAGCTGCTCAAACTTCCAACCTCCCAAACCCTTGTACCCCCCCCATTACATGAACATCCCTCGCCTCAAAGCGTCCCTGAAAACCAGCGTCTCGCCTCCGAACAAGAAAGGCCACCCTTTCCAAACCCCCAAGACGCTGCCGAAAAAACCCAAAACCCAAAACCCAAAACCCAAAAGCCAAAAGCCAAAACCCAAAACCCAGAACCCAAAACCCGAAACCCAAAACCCCCGATCTGCCAGAGCAGGTGGTCCCTGGGCTCGATCCTCCTGGAGCTCGCCCTTGGCACCCCACTGTGGCTCTCCTACAAGCGGGCGGCCCCAGTCCTTGTCGGTTTCGGGGTTTTTGTTGGCCGCTGTGTTTGGGTTAGGGTTTGAGGGTTTGAGGGTTGAGGGTTGAGGGTTGAGGGTTGAGGGTTGAGGGTTGAGGGTTGAGGGTTGAGGGTTGAGGGTTGAGGGTTGAGGGTTGAGGGTTGAGGGGTGAGGGTTGAGGGTTGAGGGTTGAGGGTTGAGGGTTGAGGGTTGAGGGTTGAGGGTTTCGGTTTTAGGGTTTGGCGCGTTCGGAGGTTTCAGGGGGTTCAGAAGCTAGAGAGGGTTCAGGCTGTAGAGTGGGTGGTTGGGGGGTTCGAACCCCAGAGTCACATCAGCTCCAAACAAGCTGCAACCCTAGACTTAGACATCTTAAACCCTAATCGAATCCTAGAATCAGAAGGCCCCAAACCCTAAGCACTAAAATCCTAAACCCTAAAATCCTAACCCCGAAGCTCCTAAACCCCAAAATCCTAAACCCTATAACTCCTAGGCTACAATCCTAAACCCGAAGCCCCTAAAGCCTTAAAATCCTAAACCCTGAAAATCCTACAGCCTGAATCTCCTAAACCCTCACAACCCTAAACCCCCTAGAATCCTAAACCCGAGAATCCTAAGCCCTAAACCCCCCCCCCCCCCAAACCCTTGAAAAATCCTAAACCCCAGAAGCGGATTGCCACAATTCAGGTGCCGTGTCGCGTCGGACCAGCGCAACAATGCAGCAGGTTCGGGCTTCTGGTCCTTGTGGGTTTAGGGTTTAGGGTTTCAGGTTTAGGGTTAGGGTTTGGGGTTTAGGGTTTAGGGTTTAGGGGATTTATGGTTCAGGGTGTAGGGTTCAGGGGGTTTGAGGGGCTTAGGGGGTTTGAGGGGTTTAGGGGGTTAAGGGGGTTTAGGGGGTTTAGGGTGGTTCCTTTTTACGATTAGGATCCCACAAGGCCCATAATTTAGAAACCTCTTCTGCGTCAGGGCTTAGGGGTTTTAGGGATCCTAGGGATGAGGGCTGGACCTCCCGATCTGTTTAGCTTAATAAGCCCATCCCCCTACACCACCCCCAGCCTTTTTCAACCCCCTTGCGCCCCCTAACTCCCTAAACCACTCAAGCCCCTCAAGACCCCCTGAGTTCCCTCACAAACCCCTTGAGCCCCCCCTAAGACCCTAAACCCTAAACCCCAAACCCCTGGCAGGTCTGGGTCTCTTTGCTGTGCCCGGCCGGGACCCTGAGAAGATCCTCGGGCGGCAGGCGCGCGAGGGGTGGCGCTGGGGGTTTCGGGGAGTTGCGGGGCTACTCCTGCCGCTACTCCTATTCAACGACGACACGCCACCACCACCGCCGCCACCACCGCCGCCGCCGCCCCCGCCACCACCACCACCCCCACCACCACCACCACCACCACCACCACCACCACCACCACCACCACCACCACCACCACCACCACCACCACCACCACCACCACCACCACCACCACCACCACGATTACGACGGTCGGAAGAATTACTAACAATATTCCCTTATGGTTCCTTTATAGGTATACGATAATAATCCTCAGAACCGTGTTCTAATCATTAAGGCCCCTTATCATACGTCGGTATCAATACAGTCACCCGACGGTCCTCACAGAAGGTACATCCAAACTGCCCCTAACCCAACCATGCCCATCCAACCCTAGACAGTACACCCTGAACCCAGACCCGCAATGGTTCTCGTCATCATTCGTATGCTTGTTGTCACTACTACTAGGACCGGGAGTAGGCCCTTTCTTCCTTTCTTCAGGGTTGGGGTTCCCTTGAAATCCCCTTAAAACCAAAAAAGTACCCTGTTTATTCCTAGGTTACTCCCGGGTCTAGACTATTACACACGCGACCATACGTTCCTAAACCCTAAACCTTAAACCCTAGACCCTAGACCCTAGACCCTAAACCCTAAACCCTCAGCCCTAAACCCTAAACCCTAACCCCCTGAAACCCTAAACCCTAAACCCTAAACCCTAAACCCTAAACCCTAGGCCTGTACTAGGCCGACGCCATTTGTCATCGCGGCCTTGCCGCGGTCTTGCGGGGCGCGCCGGGCGTGCCGCTGGAAGGCCCGTCGGAAAGCCAGGGGTTTGGGGTTTGGGGTTTAGGGTTTAGGGTTTGGTTTAGGGTTTAGGGTTTAGGGTTTGGGGCTGGGGTTTTGGGGTTTAGGGATTTTTGGGTGGCTGAGAGTTTCAGGGAGCTGTTGTTAGCACCCTAACGCCCAGAAGCCCAGAGGCTTCAGAGTTCGATGAAGGGTTTTCAGTCCCTAAGCCTCTGAAGTAAGCCCCTACGAACCCCCCCAAACCCTAAACCCTAAACCCTAAACCCTAAACCCTAAACCCTAAACCCTAAACTCTAAACCCTAAATCCTAAACCCTAAACCCTAAACCCTAAACTCTAAGCCCTAAACCCTTAACCCTAAACCCTAAACCCCAAACCCTAAAACCTAAGCCCCAAAACCCCCCATTTCCCGATTGAGCCATGAGGCGGCGGGGAGTTCAATGGACTGGACCTGCTGGAGCGGATGATGGCTTGGGCCAGCAGCCTAGAGGGAAACATCAAAAGGGTATGCGGCAGGGTTTAAGGGTCCCTAAACCCTAAACCCTAAACCCTAAACCCTAAACCCTAAAGCCTAAACCCTAAACCCTAAACCCTGAACCCTAAACCCTAAACCCTAAACCCTAAACCCTCAAGGATTAGGGTTTGCATGGGTCATGGCCAAACGTTTGGAACCCCGTTGGTCGACCTCTGAAACTTTAGGGCCAGAGGCCCTACGGCTTCTCTAAGGTGAAAGAAGGGTTAGGGTTTAGGGTTTAGGGTTTAGGGTTTAGGGTTTAGGGGCAGGATGAAAAGTCCCCTCTGAAACTCTTTCCTGTGATCCCTTAACGGCCTGTTTGCTAAGTTCTGGTCCGGTTTTGGGGGGGCATCCTTCAGTACAGGCAGCTCACGACAGGGACCCCAAGGAAAAAAACGGACCGCAATTGAGAGAGCCCTGACCTGAAGTCCTAAGGAATCCCTCATCCTAGGTGTAATTCATAGGGAAGTACGGAAGGCGGGTCCCTATTCAGTTCCTTAAAGGGTAAGTCCTAGAAAGCAACGTGGTGTACCTAATTTCGAAGTCCCTGCTAAGAACTAAGAAGTCAGATTGAACTGCCGAATCCCTAGACCCGAAACCCGAAGCCCTGAACCCGAAGGCCTGAACCCCTAAACCCTAAACCCTAAACCCTAAACTCTAAACCCTAAACCTTAAACCCTAAACCTCTTGCTTGGGAGGACCCCATGGAGCGCATCAGCCCACACGAGGCTCTGGCGCACCCCTGGCTTCAGGCGGGTAGAGGGAGATGGGGGTTTAGGGTTTAGGGTTTAGGGTTTAGGGGGATGCCTGAGAGTTCTTGGACTCCGAGTATGCTTCCCTAAGCCCTAAACCCCAGAACCCGAAACCCACTCATTCAGGTTGGAGTTAAAGGGCTTTGGGCTTCAAGGGGTTTGGGTTGAATGTTTGGGAGGGAGTGTTTCGGGCTTAGGGCTCAGGGTTGAAGGCCAATTCTAAGGCTTGGCGTTTGGTGCCCCACAAAACCTAGAAAATTGGAAACTCGGAAATTCCCTGAGCCTCAAGAAACGCCGAAGCAGTCCCAAGAAACTCGAAGACGCCCCTGCGAAGCCCTTGATGCTACTTCACAGGTGTCCTCAAAGAGACCCGTAGTCAGAACATCGCCAAGGCTTAAACCCCAAACCCTAAATCAAAGACCCCAAACCCCAAAGCTGAAACCCTGAGCCCAAGAAACCCTAAACCCTAAATCCTAAACCCTAAACCCTAAACCCTAAACCCAAAAACCCCTTTCTCCCCTTCCGGGATGGGGGCGCAGGGTTGATGAGGCTGAAGCCCGAAGGGCTGCAACCTGCCAGGGATTGGGCGTGGTTTGGGCTCAGGGTTTAGGGTTTAGGGTTTAGGGTTTAGGGTTTAGGGTTTAGGGTTTAGGGTTTAAGCTTGTTTAGGATTTAGGGTTTAGAGTGGATTTAACTTGTTGAGGGTTCGTCGTTGTTTGCAAAGGCTTTGGTAGTGTTGTGGGCGTTTAGGGTTTGGAGCCTTTGTGCTTGGATGGGTTTCTAGCAGTATGGTTCTGTAGGCTTCTGTTACATTCCTACCGGGTTTACGGTGGGCTGCAGGGCTCTAAGGTTTAGGGAGTTCAGAGTCAGGTCGTGGAGATTTTGTTCAGGGTATTAAGGTTTAGGGGCTGTAGGGGTTGGGGTCTGAGGCTTTTAAATTTCAGGGCCGGATTGGGGGCTCAGAGGTTTAGGCGGTTTGGTTTTTTTTTTGGGCTCGAGGGCTTCTTTTTGGGGTTTCAGGGTGTGTGGCTTTTCGGGCTCTACGGCTCTAGAGGTCTGGTTTTCACTGCTGTCGGACGAGGTTCAAAGGGCTTCTTTCAGGGGCCTGAGTGATTTTGGGGGGTTGTTAAACTATAGATGTATATGAACGAACCACTTAGTAGCTGAATGAGTACAACTTACATTTCTTGGGATACTAAAGAATCCCCTATAGCCTATAGCACTGTGTACATTTTTTGGGGCTTATGAACCCAGCAACTAAGACCATAAGGGAATGTGATTAGTAGTTTACCCTTCGCCAACTGCCGCCCGGTTGAGATCACAAGTGCACAAAGCACTCTGCCGCGTGCAGGTCCGAAATCGGATCCTGGTGGTTTGGCCTTGAACCCTAAACCCTCAACCCTAGACCCTACATCTTGCACCTCTGTAAGCCCGACTTAGAAAGCTACTCCCTGAAGCCAAGCCACTTCCTTCTTTTCATTCTGAGATGGATGTTTCATGGCTCTCCCAACCCCTAAGCTTGGAACCGCGACGAAGGGGTGGGGCGGCGTGGGCTTGCTCTGACAGGCCCACGCAGTGTTCGCGATACATAGAGTTGAGGAAAGCGCCCTATGAAATAATGGGAGCGTGCTTGAATAGTGTGGGTAGCGAGAGTCTCCCTGCGATCTACTCAGCAGAATACTAAGTTAACAAGGAGCAGGGGCAAAATGGCGACAGTTGCTGCCGAAACTGTAGTAGAAGTTGTGGGACGTCAAGTTGTTGCCCTCGAATTTATCATCGTATGCCCCATCGGAAGGAACATCAGTGTTAGAGACTGTTTCAGTTCTAGTGCTCGTGGTCATGCAAGTGGGACCGCAAGAACAAAGAAAGAGGTAACGATGCTAAACATGAATGGGTCTCGTGCTCGCGTGCCGGTTATGGAAGCATTGTTCATAGCGACGCCTTGGTGCGTGTGATGATGCAACTTCGCCTTCTGAAGCAACGTGCCGATAAAAAGGCTCCTTTATGATGGGGAGTTGTTATTGAGCTGCGACAGGACTACGTGTGATCGTTGCGCATATGGAGCAGGAACTTCTTCTTTGGCCCTTTGAAACATCCACAGCAACCTCTGTACAATGATCTGATGCAGGGCTGATCAAGCCGGGTCTCCTCTAGCCTCACACTCACGAAAATCGGACTCTGCCGGTATGTGCTTCTTTCGAAAGGCCACTCCTGAACTGCATGAAAAATAGGAATCCCCATATTGCCCTGATTAGGAAGAACATTCTTATTTGTTTGGGAGGCTCTTAAGCCCTAAAACCCTAAACCCGAAACCTTGTTTGGGGGGCTCTTAAGAAATTCGTAGTGAAGCTAGGGTTTAGGGTTTAGGGTTTAGGGTTTAGGGTGGCAAGGGCATGTAGAGTGCCTCGTGGAGTAGCTGGAGCTCCGATCAGCGCAGATGCTGGCTTTCTGACTTGGCCGGGCCTGCTCCCTCGACCCTGAAGCTTTGTCTAGGCTGAGTGGTCAGCTGTGGGCAGCTTAGATCCAGAGCGCGTATGCTCTACAGAGGACTTCTGCATTGAAGCTGCGGACCGGAGAGTACTTCTTACACTTCGCAATACTTCACGCGGCCGTAGTAAGTAGTGCTTGGATTGTGCTCGCTCTTGAGTATTTTCGGGTATGCTGCTTACGGCAATGTGGTGATAGTTTCGTGGATGTCTGACAGACATAATAGGGCATTCCCATGTGCAATATACCGCCGTTCGCACGAAGGGAGCAGGGAGACGACCGAGGAAGGGGTAAGTCGACAAAGTGCTTCTGGGACGGCCATGTTCCTTGGCTGAGCAACGCGCTTGCGGGAGGCTTCAAAAAGTGGCTACGCCGTACATACTTCAACAAATGGTTCTTGATACTACTATGAGTTCATGTCAGCATTCAACAGTATAATGTTATCATCTGAAGTTCTTCGTCGCTCAAGGACCCACGGAGCAAGTTTGAATCGAACTCAGAGTGGGCAACCGTGGACGTTGTCACTTTTGTTTTCAAGGGTGTGCACATGTGAAGCCGCAGCATGGTTTTAGGCACCGTTTAAGCTCTGCCGTCAGTCAGCCCTTCCCAAGCATTCCATCGCTTTCTCCCAGTGGCCTTGTCTCGAGAAACCTCTTGGACTCGCCTAGACCATCCTCGACCCTCACTCAAAAACTCTAAACTGCATATTCTCTACTTCATCAACCCGAACCGCAACCCTAGCCACAAACTGTTAGGGTTTAGGGTTTAGGGTCAATTTCTCAACGCTGACCCTAAATTCAGGGTGCTTCGGCTAGAGGTCCACTTGAAAGCAAGGGCTCACACTCGGCCATGGGCGATGCGAAAGCCGCGCAGCCCAAGCCGTCGCTGGCGAAGCTGCTGAAGCAGCTTGGGGTTCCCAGCGCCAAACGCTAAACCCCTAAACTCCCAACCCTGAAACCCTAAACCCCTAAAGCCCCCCAAGCCCTAAAACCCTCAAGACCCTAAACCCTAAAACCCTGAACTCCTGAATCCTGAAGCCTTGGGCCCTGGTACCAGTTTTTCAGATCAAGGTGCTTCTGGCAGCTCCATCGCAAGGTAGCCTAGTTTTGGTGTTTTCCGCTTTGAATCCCCTAAGTCTATTATTTATATGAAGTAGCTTTAAGGAAGATCATCTTGCATCATTTCATAATAATATAGACAAGAAAAAATCAAAACGAAATGACAAAAACGTTTTGATTCAATAGAACCAAATAGAACGAATCAATTTAAATAACTATGTAAAATCAAAACGAAATGACAAAACCGTTGTGATTTAATAGAACCAAATAAAACGAATCAATTTAAATAAGTATATCGAATGGTTTTTTTATCCAAAGAAAAATTGAAATCTAAAAGAATATCAAGAAAATGAAGCTTTAGAATAGAAATGAAGGAATTCACTAAACCCCCTAAATTCCCTAAACTGAAACAACAGACCTAGATTTTCATATCCTGAACCTCTCCCGGCCGGGTTGCAAAAAGCCTAGTCGAGTGACTCTTGCACACCCTAAACCCAAAGCCCCTCAGCCCCAAACTCGAACCCCCTCTCTTAACCCTAAACCCTAAACCCTAAACCCTAAACCCTAAACCCTAAACCCTAAACCCTAAACCCTAAACCCTAAACCCTGAACCCTGAACCCTGAACCCTGAACCCTAAACCCTAAACCCTAAACCCCGAAACCCTAAACCCCTCAACCCCTCAACCCCTCAACCCCTCAACCCCTCAACCCCTCAACCCCTCAACCCCTCAACCCCTCAACCCCTCAACCCCGCCCTACACACACACACACTACCCTGACAACATGAGCCGTGATTCTTTCAGGTGTGGCATTGATCCCAATGCCCTGTCCTTCGAGGTGCCTCGGGGGAATTCTTTGCGGGATATAGAGGTGCAGGGGGATTGAGGTGCTTTTATTTGAGGCCTTGACGGTTTTTGTAAGGTTTTCTTGGGATAAAGGGTTAGGAGTTTTAAAGGCTTTTGCAGGGTGTGGGGTGGGAGGTTTGGAACAGGGCTTGTTCGGCTTGGTTGACTTATGAGATGCCGGGGTTCTACGAAAGGGCGAGGGAGGTCATAACCACAGTTAGGGTTTGGGGGTTGGGGTTTCGGATAGCTCAACATACCACAAGCCCCGAAAGGGGAATAAGGTGCAGATTTTGCTCCGCCCCTTAACTTTTTGAAGGGCATGCCCTGAGGTGTGTTATGTTGAGTATTTCTTCGAACGTATGCACCCGGATTCTTGTACCTGACAGAAATCGGGGCCTGTGGGCTGCGCTAAGCGGGGCGGAGGGAAGGAGGGAGGGGCAGGGACGGAAGGTGAGTGAAGTGAGTGGGTGGTCCGATCTCTGCTCTTTCGGGTTGCTTTCCACAGCTCCACCATCTCGATGCCCTAGGCCCTAGACCCAACGCCAGCAGCCTTTTACAGTACCGCACGTGGCCTCCCCACCCCTGTGAGAGCCTTAACAATTAGAATAGGGTTGTGGGGAGTTATGATAGTACAATGATATAGGGACCATAAGGGAACAGTATTCGTAATTACTCCGACCCCTACATTAACCCCGGGTCGAGCCCGGTTTGCGTCTGCGTCGCTGAAGCTTTCTGCGCGTGGAGGATGCCGGGGAGCGGCGAACGCTGCTCTGCCTGGTCATCGAGGAGGCGGGAGCTTTGGGGGAGGTGGAGCCCCTGCTCGACGAAGTCTCCCAGAGGGGGCGGGATTTTTCCCCTGAACCCTAAACCCTAAACCCTGAACCCTAAACCCTAAACCCTACACCCCCCTCCGCCACAAGCAACAAGCAGCTCCAAGCAGGCCGTCAAGCTCAACAACGACCTCTCAAAGGCAGCGGACCGGGTGTTCGGGTGGCCTGAGTCGTCCTGAGCCCTTAGCATCCCGAGGCCCTAAACTCTAAACCACTCTTTCATAAAAAGCAGAAATGCAACTGACTTTGTGGGCAAGGTCATAACTTTTGCGGGCAAGGTCAGAAAATCAGCGGGCAAGGTCATAAAGTAAGCGGGCAAGGTCATAAAGTCAGTTGGCAAGGTCCCTGAAGGTACCAAGCCGGGGCGGGTACGTGACACGTGTATCGATGCGGAGCACGCATTGGCTCGAGTCGCGAACATACGCCCCAACGCAGACCCTTCTGAGCATCGCAGCCGAGCCATGTCCGAGGCCGAGGCAGTGATCCGCAATCAGTCCGGCTATATCAACCACACGGCCAAGAAGGACTACGGGCCCTTGGAGTTTACTGGGCGAATTGCTGGAGGTCTGAGGCTGGACTTGCGTAGGCGGCTGCCGCTTTACGCGAGCGACTGGACGGATGCGTTCAAGCCGGAGAACTTCCAAAAGTCTTTGTCGTCCATTCTCTACCTCTTCATCGCAGCCTTGGCGCCCGCCATCACCTTCGGAAGCCGCTTCTTGGACGGCACAAATGGCCAGTTCGGAGTGCTGGAGATGATTATGTCGACAGCCGTCTCTGGCGTGATCTTCTCCACCTTCGCAGGGCAGCCCTTGTCCATCCTCGGAGCGACCGGTCCTTTCCTGGCATACACCCTTGTGGTTTATGACATGGCGGTGGGTGCCGATGTGGAGTTCATGCCCTTCTACTTCTGGGTTTGCATGTGGTGTTCGCTCTTCACCATTTTGGTCGCGGTCTTTGACCTCTGTGCTCTCATGAAGCATGTGACCATGTTCTCGGAAGACATCTTCGCGGGGCTTATTTCCTTGATCTTTATCATCGACGGAGTCAGGCCTGCCCGCAGCTTTGCGCGCGTTGTGTTGTTTGTGCGCGCATGCATGTGCGCGCACCAGATGCCTGTCACAGAAAGCAAAACCCAGCTAATGTTATAAGTGTAGATGGCCTAATCGAAACATTGTGGCGTGCCCACAACCGTTGACATACCGTTGACCATTCCGGGGCGCAGGCCCATAATCGAGAACTTCTCGGAGAACAAGATGAGCCTGACCAGTGCCATGTTCGAGGCCCTGCTCTTGGGGTGTGCACGTCCCCGGGTCCCCCGACTGTGGCATCTTTTAAAATTTGTCAAGTTTATTGAAAGTTGACGAGGCCTTACTGTTCATCTACACCTTTGGCTTGGCGACCTACCTGTCCCACTTCCGCCGCACGCCTTGGCTGCTCCGGCCCATCCGCAACCTCATGGCCAACTTCGCAGTGACCATCTCCCTGGTCACGGCCTCGGCCCTGGCAGCGATCTACTCCAGCGACACGAACCTGAGGATGCTGAGCGTCGACGCGGACTTCTCCCCGAACCTCGTCTTGTCGGATGGCAGCAAGCGGCCCTGGGTCGTGAATCCCATGGGCATCGAGCGCGACTTCCCGGCCTGGGCCATTGCTTACGCGATACTTCCGGCAAATGTGGACGCAGAGTATTCCATTTTTTGTAGGGTTTGGGTTCCCGTATGTACCCTTCCCTTTTTACACTGTTACTCTCGGGTCTAGGCAATTGGTTTCGCCGTGCTGGGTTACCTGGACCAGAACCTCACGTCGGTGATCGTGAACAGGCCTTCCAACAACCTGCAGAAGGGGCCAGGCTATCATTTGGATCTGCTTACTGGCCAGCTCTTGCAAGAATCATTTTGCTTTTGCAGCAGGTTCCCTTTATACGAAAGTATACGGGTCAGATGTTTTTGCAAGGGTTGCCAAAGACAGTTATAAGGTTTGTCAGGGGAGCTTTGACGCTGCCCGTCTGCGCTGTGTTGGGCCTGCCTCTGTCGGTGGCCTCGACAGTGCCCAGCATCACGCACGTGATCTCGCTGACCACCTATGAGGTGAAGCAGCTGCCGGAGGGCGAGCGCAAGGTGCCGAGCAAGGTCGTGGAGCAGCGTGCGACGAACTTTCTGATCCACGTGCTCATAGGATGTGCGCTCTTCCTGGCGCCGGCGCTGAAGTTCCTGCCACGGGCCGTGCTGCAGGGCGTGTTCTTCTACATGGGCATTGCAAGCTTGACCGGCAACAACCTTTTCGACCGCCTCTTCCTGTGGCTGATCTGGGACCCGGCCAAGTACCCACAGTACCACTACATCCAGAAGCTGCCCATCCGCCGCGTGCACCTCTACACCCTGGTGCAGGCAGGTTGGCTTTGGAAGCGTGATTGGGGTTGTAACTAGTGTAGCGAACGTCCACAGCCTCAGCCTATAGGGCCTAGTTAATTAGGGCCTAGTTGCTGGAAAGCTGGCCTGGTCTAAGGGTGATGTCCGAGCTTGTGCTCAATTTTGCGCCTCTCTCTCTCTCTCTCCCTCTCCCTCCCTCCGCCGCGTAGCTTGTGCGCACTAAGTTGGTGCCGCCGAACTCGCAAGCGCTCGCTACTACCAGTAGCATGCATACAGAGAAGGGGAAAGTGAAACAGGAGTAAGCACCTCACAACGCAGCGGCTAAGATTGGCGCGGAGGTGATCTGCCCCTGGCTTGGCCCTCTGGGCGAAGGGATATGAAGAAATCTTGATACGGGCTTGCCATGTTAGGAAATTTGTCCTGCAACAAAGGTACGATGCTTGATGATTTCTGCTGAAATCGCACTTTGGGTCATTTTTGGGCTTACGGCCGTCCGTGTGGCACGTGTAACCGGGCTCGAAGAAAGCTGCAAATACTGCTTTGCTGCGCTTCTCTCATTTGCATGGGGCTTCTTCTCCCTCCTCCCTTTCGGTTTTCACTGTCCGCTCTGACTTCGCTCAAGGGGTGATCCATCTTCTATATGCATGCTCGCAGCGAGCGCTTGCTGCGGCATTCGTGGTGCCAACTTAGTGAGCACATGCTCACGCGGCGGGCATCAGCCTAAAGTTGTTCTTCTTCTTGCCAGGTGGTCTGCCTGGGTATCTTGTACGGTCTCAAAGCCATCAAGGAGACTTCCGTTGTCTTCCCTTTCTTCATGGCTTCCCTGGCCATCATCCGGAAGGCATGGGACAAGAATGGGCAAGATTTTGGCGCAAGGGTCCGCTTTTCCTCAAGATATAAGACCCGCTGATCAAAGCCCCCATGCCATCTGCAGGCCATGCGCTTCCTCTTCACGCAAGAGGAACTGGAGCTGCTGGACAGCCTCCCAGCTGAGGAGGAGGAGGACGGCAAGGCGCTGCGGGGGTTCTCTTTCCTAGATGCTGCCCCGCAGCACGGCCACCTGCGTTCGGGAGCACCAAAACTGCCAAAGCTGTCCAAGCTGCCAAAGCTGCCAATGCGGATAGTCATGGATAGTCTCTACAAATGTCGGCAAGAAGTGGACCCTGCCAGGGGCCGAGTCCGGAGCAGCCGGACTTGGTCAACCTCGAGAAGTCCAAGGCCACTAGCAGACCTGGCAGCTTCAGCAGGGCTGTTGGGGTTTAGGAGTTCCGGCTTTAGGTACTTGGGCAGGTTGCTCAGCTCGTTGCTGGTTTCAGGGCTTCGTCTACAGAGGTTTGTTTTCGCAAGCTGGAGATATCTGGAGATGCTGGCAAAGCTTTAGTCAAGGGTGCGGGTGGGATGCCGCTAGTGTCTGAGGGCTTCGACGTTCAAGCGATTTCAAGGGCGTCTCTGCCATGTTGCCGCCTTGCAACATGTCAGGGTTTCTGAGTGTTCAGGAATTCATGCCCTAAACCCTAAACCCTAAACCCTAAACCCTAAACCCTAAACCCTAAACCCTAAACCCTAAAATCGTGTCAGGAGAACGATGAGGGAGAGCCCGCGAAGGCCACTATGGGGGTCTGAGCTGCTGCAGCCCGCCTTTGCCTCAACCAAAAGTAGGCAGATTTTCTTCCTTCCCGGATGGAATCGTTTAGTGGGGCCTGAAGGGCCTTCCGCAATACAGAATTCGTTGAGTTGTTGGCTGATTTTGGCTCTTTGGAGCTGGCTGGCGGGGCCCTTGCTGCGGCAATGGGCTCGTGCCTGGCAAACCCTTACATCCAAGCAGCACTGGCCGGAGCGCTGGCGCAGACACTGCCCAGCTGGTCCTGGCGCTTGGATATCGCAGTGCCCATGCAAGGGCACAGCGGCGCCGGGAACAGAAAGTTCTTTCAGCTTTCGGAGGCCGTCGCCCCAGGCGAACATCTCCAAACCTACCCTGTACAGCCCCCGGCGCCAAACTCTCTACTCCTCAACGGTGCGGAAAAGGAGGCCTGGTGCGTGGCTTTGCAGCATTCCCCCTGCAACCCGAAACCCTGGAAGCCCCCCCCTCTCCCCCCCCTCCCTCCCCCCTCCCCCCCCCCCTCCCCCCCCTCCCCCCCCTCATTTTCAAAGCCACTGGTTGGCGTGCTTGAGCAAATGACCGCCAGCGTTGAAGAGCCCTACATCCGGTTCAAGGAACTGAGGGTTCAAGGCCTCGGGTTTGGGGTTCCGGGCTTAGGGTTCTAGTTTCTCAGGTTAGCGTCTAAGGTTCAGGGACGAGTGCTTAGGGTTCAATTTAGGGATTCTCGGGGTGGGTGGGTACTTTTCGGGCGCTTGAAAAGCTGCTAACCTAGAGTGAATGCTTGAACTTTGAGATGCTGAACCCTAAACCCTAAACCCTAAACCCTAAACCCTGAACCCTAAACCCTAAACCCTAAACCCTAAACCCTAAACCTTAAACCCTAAACCCTAAACCCTAAACCCTAAACCCTAAACCTTAAACCCTAAACCCTAAACCCTAAACCCCCCTTCAGAACGGGGGGTTTCCAGGGGCCTTGTGGGCTGCCAAGAAGCTGCAGGTGGACCTCCTCATCGAGGCACGCGCCGACCCCACCCGCCGCTCCGAGACGGGCAGCTTCCCCCTGATGCTGGCGTCGCCCCTCGGGTTTTAGGGTTTAGGGTTTCGGGGTTGGGGGTTCAGGGGTTGGGGTTTAGGGGTTGGGGTTCAGGGTTTAGGGTTCGGGGTTTAGGTTTTCGGGTTTAGGGGTTTAGGGGTTTGCGGTTTTGGGTTTAGGGTTTCGGGTTTAGGGTTTGGGGTTTAGGGTTCAGGGTTTGGGGACTTTCGGGTTTTGCGTTTCGGGGATTCGCGTTGGGGGGGTTTAGGGTTTAGGGTTTCGGGTTCAGGGTTCAGATGCATGGGGTTTCAGGGGACCCCAAACCCGAAACGCTGAATTCGAAGCCCGAGCAGCTAAGCTCTGAGCTCGATGTGTTCCCTTTTCGCAACAGTCCCAAACCCTAAACCCTAAACCCTAAACCCTAAACCCTAGACCCTAAACCCTAAACCCTAAACCCTAAACCCTAAACCCTAAACCCTAAACCCTAAATCCTAAACCCTAAACCCTAAGCCCTAAAACCCTAAACCCTAAACCCCACACCTGTGCTTCAACTTCTAAACTTCTCTGAGCCGAGGCAGTACTCGAACCTCAAGTGCCTTGGCCGGAAGCGCCTGTGAGGTTCGGCAAGGTTGGACGTTTGGCCCAGTCCCGAACCCCAAGCCTTAAACCGTAAACCCTGAAAACCTGAAAACCTGAAAACCTGAAAACCCCTAAACGCCGAAAGCCCTAAAGCCCTAAACCCTAAGCCCCTAAACCCCTAAACGCCTAAACCCCTAAACCCCTAAACCCCTGAACCCCTCTACCCCAAAACCCCCAAAACCCCTAAAGCCTTAAGCCCCTAAACCCCGAAACCCCTAAACCCCTAGACCCCTAGACCCCTAGACCCCTAAGCCCCCAAACCCCAAACCGCCTCAGACCAGGCTGGCGCGAAAGCTTCTTCAGGCTCGTGGGGCTGTCTTGGAGCCTTTGGTCCTCGGTTTGGGAATCCGGTAAGCAGGCATGCGCTCTGCCTCTTCCTGCGGCAAGATGCGGTGAAGGGTCTAGGGTTTAGGGTTTAGGGTTTAGGGTTTAGGGTGTATTGCAGGGGAGTTGATGGGGGATGTGGGGAGTTGATGGGGGCATGCTTCGCTTCTTCTTCTAGCTCAGAGTTGGGAAAGCTTCTCGAAACACCTGCGGTGAGATTGTGCGGTGAGATTGGTGAGGCAAGAGCGGAAGTCAACCAGCAAGATACGTGACTTGGCCACATGAAGTTTGCATCATCCAGGCCGTGTGGACCTCTATTCCAGGCCGTGTGGACCTCTACTCTGGGAGCCTTTCGGACTATTGAGGTAGGCACCGATCCACGCATATGCATATTTCATATTTCCATGTAATCATGTGTTGTACATACATATCCACGCTAGGTGGTCGCTATTCCTTGTTTCCCTACTGGCTTTTCGCTGAAAGTTCGTGCAGAGTCGAGTGAGGGATCATGTGGCCGAGGAGGCTGGTGACTCCGCTGCACGCTGCCGTGCATGAGGACCGCTGTTGAGACGGCGGGGAAGATTTTGGTGGTTTCCGAACTTAGGGGGTACCTTATTGGGGTCCTCAGTACAAGGGAATCCTACTATTTGTGTCTACATTAGAAAATACCTTATTGGGGTCCTTATTGTAAGGGAATCCTACTATTTGGGGTCTATATTAGGGGTCCCCGATTTTCGTAAACCCCCTTTTGTGGCCTAAGGGGAGCCTTGGCAGGACTCTGCACAAATGGTGCAGCTCCTCCTCATGCACAAGGCGAACGTCAACGTGCAGGACCAGGCCTGTGGCCCACCCCCAGGTTGCTTTCGCGAGTTTTAAAGCCTAAACCCTAAACCCTAAACCCTAAACCCTAGACCCTAAACCCTACATCCCAAGCCCTGAACCATCCACCCTGAGCCCTCATCGCCGAAGTCACATGAGCCCGACGCCCAGCGCATGTCAGGTAGGCCAGACGCCCATCTTCTTCGCTGGCAGCCGCGGACTCAGTGGAGTCTCAGAGTTTGAGAAGTTTCGGGTTTAGGAGTTCCTTCTCAGTTTCACAGAAAAGGCCATCAAAGATGGCCTTAAACACCCAGATCCGAAAGCCTGAAGAAGCCCGGATAAAAGCCGCTTCAAAGCCCGGGCTCGCCCCAACCACATGGCGCCGAGAGACGGGGTCTCAGGTTTCGGGATTTTTCGGGGTAGGGTTTACGGTTTATAGGCTTTACGGTTTAGGGGTGACGGTTTGGGGTTTATAGGGTATAGGGTTTAGGGTTTAGGGTTGCTAGGATCGTGTGTGGTACAGAGTGGAAGAGCCAGACGGACTCTGCATGAGTGCTCCGGAACACGCGGAATCCGAAGCTCAAGTGCTGTGCTTTAGGGTTTAGGGTTTAGGGTTTAGGGTTCAGGGTTCAGGGTTTAGGGTTTAGGGCTTAGGGCTTAGGGCTTAGGGTTTAGGGTTTCGGGTTCAGGGGTGAGCACCCCTCAACTCCTGCCCCCCCCGAGCGCCGCCCAGGTACAACTGCGATTGCTGCCCTGGTAGATGCCAAAGCTGATCTGCATCACCTGAACAAGAAAGGCCGACAGCCCCCATTTAACCCCCGGAGCCCTACACACCCCGGTACACCTCGAAGCCCCTAAACTAACCTTAAGCCCCATACCCTAAACCCTAAGCCCGAACTCCCCAAACCCTAAACCCTAAACCCTAAACCCTAAACCCTAAACCCTAGACCTTAAGCCCTGAACCCCCAAGGCCCAAACCCTAAACCCTAAACCCTAAACCCTAAACCCTAAACCCTAAACCCTAAACCCTAAACCCTAAACCTCTACGTCCTAAGAAGCTCCAAGAAGCCAACGCCCTCTCCGGCCATGCGAAGGGCAGAGCGCCCTGCACCTCGCAGCGCACAACGGTAGGTACGAGGCGCGCTTCGGGTTTAGGGTTTAGGGTTTAGGGTTTAGGGTTTAGGGTTTAGGGTTTAGGGTTTAGGGTTTAGGGTTTAGGGTGTAGGGTGTAGGGTGTAGGGTGTAGGGTAGTGAAGGGTTTTGGGATTGTGGTTCAGGGTCTGGGGCGGCCTTCGGAGGGCTTTGGGGGCTTTAGGGGCTCTAGGGGTGTAGGGTTGAGGGCTGGGGTTTAGGGTTTCTGGTGTTAGGGGCCTTAGGGTTTCGGCGGGCTTTGGGGGTTTGAGAGGTCAAGGGCGCCTTCGGCTTAGAGGTTGAAGGGTATAGCACCCTCAGACCCCTTGAAACCTTGAATCGTAAATGCCTCACCTAAACCCTAAACCCTAACCCTAAACCCTAAACCCGAAACCCTAAACCCTAAACCCTAAACCCGAAACCCTAAACCCGAAACCCTAAACCCTAAACCCTAGACCCTAAAGCCTAAACCCTAAGTCGCATGGCAGGCCGTGGTCTACTTCACAGACCACGAGTTCCTCGCTGAAACGGTGGACATGCAGGTGTCAGGGGCAGGGTGGGTGGATTGGGGGGGCGGGGGGAAGGTTTTGGGTTCAGGGAGGGTTTAGGGTTTAGGGTTTAAGCGCCGACGTTGCTTTAACAAGGGTTTAGGTTTCGGGGGTCAAGGAGTTGAAGGTTTATTTTTCTAAGTTAATGATCATTGTTGTGATTATCATTACTATTTCTGCTATAGCATATTGCTATCCCTTTTACCATTATTTCTACCGTTACTATTCCAACTACAATTGCTGTTTCTCCTTGCTATGACTAATTACTATTATTACTAGTACTATTACTGCTACTTTTACCATTCCCATTTCTATTACTGTTCCTATTGCTATTACAACTATTTCTTTATTCCGTTACTATTACCACTTCTATTGCTGTTACTATTACTACTACTCTTACTATTACTATTTCTATCACGATCACTGTCACTATCACCGTCACTATCACCGTCACTGTCACTGTCAGTATCACTGTCACTGTCACTGTCGCTGTCACTATCACTCACCGTGACTCTTACTCTTACTCTTACTCTTACTCTTACTCCTACTCTTACTCCTACTCCTACTTTTACTCTTACTCTTACTCTTACTCTTACTCTTACTCTTACTCTTACTCTTACTCTTACTCTTACTCTTACTCTTACTCTTACTCTTACTCTTACTCTTGTTGCTATTGTCATTGTCAGTGTTGTGTTTTTGTTTTGCCTGCTCGAGCATCACTCAACCTTAAGCCTGTTTGTGCAGGCCTCAGAAACCCAGACACCTCCCGAAACCCTAAGCCCCAAAACCCTAAAACCCGAAATCCTGAATTTTGAACCCTAAGCCCTAAACCCGAGACCAAACCCCAAAAACCCTGGTCAATCTACAGTAGGGGTTGGGGGCCCTAACCTTAAACTTTGAACCCTAAATCCTAAACCCGAAGCCGTAAACCCTAAACTCAAGGCTTAGGCCGCCTCTCTACATGGGGGGGGGGGGGCGGCGCTTAAGCCCCACGACCTGGACCACGATGGGCCCACCGGAGCACGTTCTCCTCGGGACCAGTGGTCCCTCACCAAACCTGAAACCGAAACTTCTGGGCACCTTAAAGGCCCCAGCCCAAAACTTGGGCGGGACCGCGGGGGGGGGGGGGGGGTTTTGGCAAAAACGCCATCTCTGGAACCCTCCCTGCAGCCCCCCTCGGACCCCCTGGACCACCTGAATCCCACGGGCCCTGGAACGGAAGAACTTTCTGGAAGTGGGCTGTTGGATTGAGTTTAGGCCTAAACCCTAAACGGAACAGGTTTGGGTGGTTTTGCCATCTGTGATGGTGTGGGGTGGGATAAAGATGTTCTCCACTATCAGGCCATGGCTGCTCTGCGCATTTCACGAAGCTTTCGAAGCGAGTCTGCATCCCAACCTTCGCAGCTTCTTCGCCATTTCGCCCTAAACCCTAAACCCTAAACCCTAAACCCTAAACCCTAAACCCTAAACTTTAAACCCTAAACCCTAAACCCTAAACCCTAGACCAAAAACCCTAAATCCGAAGCCCTAAGCCCTAAACCCTCCCTATCCCTCAAGAGCCTATAAATTGAGCTTGCGTATGTGGGCACCAGAGCACGACCGGCTCCACTTTTGCGTCGGCGACTTCTTTGTCGCCGAGAAGGTTCAGGCGGTGGCTTGAGCACCCGGCGATCTGAGCGCAACAGCGTATGTAGTGTCATGATTCTTGGAGGTGCGGTTCTCTGGTGGACTGACGCTGAAGGATGACTACGTGGCTCGGCTTGGACTGGTCTTGCTATATTCTTGCTCTATTAAGTGCAGCGCGCGCAACATGGAGGATTACACCTGCCGTCGCCTGGCAGCTTACGGTAGCGCCGGGGCTTCAGAAGAAGCCTAGCAGAGTGCGGCCTAAATGTTTTGACTGCAATGCTCTAAGATCCTTCGGCGCAACCGCTTGTGCACGGATGCCGTGCACTGCAGCAACCCTGGCGGAGCTGTGACCAAGCGGACATGTAAAGAGGCATCGAAGGGTGCTGCTAAAGGAAGGTATGGCGTCTTCAAAGAGAATTTTTTGTATGTACTCCTGCGTGCTACTGCACACTTGCATTCGTGTGTGGAGTTTCATACATGGGCCGCAGCTGTTCCTGCTCCTGCTGCAGAAACACCTACAGGCAAAACATACCCGAAGGCTTTTCAGCACAAACCCCATGCAGATTACAGAGAAAAGCTATCTACCAAACTTTTCAAAACAATGGCCGTTCTCGGCAAATTTGCGAAACGGGCCCATCAGATCAGAGGCGGGAACTTTTCTTTCTTTCTTTCTTTCTTTCTTTCTTTCTTTCTTTCTTTCTTTCTTTCTTTCTTTCTTTCTTTCTTTCTTTCTCTCTCTCTCTCTCTCTCTCTCTCTCTCTCTCTCTCTGTCTTTCTTTCTTTCTTTTCATTCTTTCTGTCTGTCTGTTCTCTCTCCTGCTCTCTCCTGCTCTCTCCTTCTCTCTCCTTCTCTCTCCTTCTCTCTCCTTCTCTCTCCTTCTCTCTCCTTCTCTCTCCTTCTCTCTCTTTCTCTCTCCTTCTCTCTCCTTCTCTCTCCTTCTCTCTCCTTCTCTCTCCTTCTCTCTCCTTCTCTCTCCTTCTCTCTCCTTCTCTCTCCTTCTCTCTCCTTCTCTCTCCTTCTCTCTCCTTCTCTCTCCTTCTCTCTCCTTCTCTCTCCTTCTCTCTCCTTCTCTCTCCTTCTCTCTCCTTCTCTCTCCTTCTCTCTCCTTCTCTCTCCTTCTCTCTCCTTCTCTCCCCTTCTCTCTCTTCTCTCTCCTTCTCTCTCCTTCTCTCCCCTTCTCTCCTCCTCTCCCCTTCTCTCTCCTTCTCTCCTCTCTCTCCCCTCTCTCCTTCTCTCTCCTTCTCTCTCCTTCTCTCTCCTTCTCTCTCCTTCTCTCTCCTTCTCTCTCCTTCTCTCTCCTTCTCTCTCCTTCTCTCTCCTTCTCTCTCCTTCTCTCTCCTTCTCTCCTTCTCTCCTTCTCTCCTTCTCCCCATTTCTCCAAACTCACCAACACAAAAAACAAAACGCAAAAAGCAGTCCCAAAACTTAAAGAAACATGTTCCACTCTTCTCTCTTCCCTCTTCCCTTTTCCCTTTCTTCTCGCTTCTCTCATCTCCCTTCTATCTTCTCTTTTATCTCTTCGCTTTGAATTATAGCCGTGCTCACGTCCTCCGATCACTTATTCACATGACTGGTTTGATGGCCTGCTTTTGTTTTGCAGCTTTAGAGACGTGGCCGCAGGCGCATCACAAGCCCTGTAGTGTCTGTTGTTCACTTGCTATGACTGCGGCCATGGAGCCGGCGCCACACCAGTGTCGAGTAGCCACTGGCTCTGCCACGTCAAACGCAACATCCGTGTTCTCAAGGACAAATGGCCACGAGCGATCCACAGCCACCCTGCGCGCAAGAACGAGGTGGTGCTACGATGGCCCGTGGAGTGAAGGCCTCTCACAGTGCTGCCTCTCTGCTTCGCTTTTCTCTCCGCAGTATTCTTTCTTCTTGTACAAAAACTCCGCAAGGGGGGAAACGCAACAAGTTCAGACAAATTCCGACAATTTCAGACAAACTCCGAAAACGCTAGAAAGCCAAAACATGAAAACAGCTAAAAAACTAAAACATCTCAAAAACAACTCAGAAAAAGTCGGGGTATGTTTTGTTTTTTCTTCAAAAGCCGACCCCCGCGCACGAAGCAAGCTCAATAAACCCGAAGCCCGAAGCACTAAGCCCTAAGCCCTATGCCCTAAGCCCTAGACCCTAGTCCCTAAGCCGTAAACCCTCAACCCTCAACCGTAAACCCTCAGCCTTAAACCCTCAAGCCTAAGCCCTCAACCCTCAACCTTAAACCCTAAACCCTAAACCTTAGGTTTTAGGTATTCGGATTGATGGTGGTGGGTTTTGGTTGAGACGACCTCTGTGAAGCCTTCTGAGACCTCAAACGGCCTACGCCCTCGCCCGGCCCCACACCCCGAACAGCTTGACCCTCAACCCGAAGTCACTCAGCCCCGCAACCCTGACTCCTAAACCCTGAAGACCTAAACCCTAAACCCTAAGCCCTGAGCCTTAAACACTAAACAGCCGTAAACCATAAACCGTAAACCGTAAACCCTAAACCCTAAACCCTAAACCCTAAACCCTAAACCCTAAACCCTAAACCCTAAACCCTAAACCCTAAACCCTAAACCCTAAACCCTAAACCCCAAGCCCTTGTTCAAGCGACCCCGCGTGAGGACGAGCGCGGCCGCAGCGCGCTGCACATGGCTGCGGTGCGGGGCCACCAGCTCCTGGGGCCGGCACTGAGGGTGTCGGGGGGTTTAGGGTTTAGGGTTTAGGGTTTAGGGTTTAGGGTTTAGGGTTTAGGGTTTAGGTACAGGGTTGGGGCTGCGTAACACTTGCAGCAACGTGAGCACTTTTATCGCAGGGTTCATGTATTTAGGGTTTAATGTTTAGGGTTTAGGGTTTGTTTGTTCTTCGGAGGGTTTAGGGCTCCAATCTTTGATTACGGGGTTGGAGTGTTTTCTTCGGCTGAAGGGCTTTCCAAGTCAGGCTCTAAACCCTGGACACTAAACCTTAAAGCACGAGTCGCGACCTCTGAAACTCGCTTGCTTCCCCAAGGCGAGTGGTCTCGCGCTTGATGGACGTCGGCGCTGATCCCAGGCGCCCGGCCTGACCTGGAGATTTTGGGCATGAATCCTAAGCAATACACCCTGAGGGCGTAAGCCTGAATCCCTGCGCGCCTAAAAATTGAGGGCTTTGGGGTTCTGCTTTCTTGGGGATAGGCTTTCGAGCCTAAGTAAGCCCTAAACCCGAAACCCTACACTCTAAACCCTAAACCCTAACCCTGAACCCTAAACCCATCAAGTCCGAGTGAGTCCGGGTGCATCTGAGGCTGAGGATGCAGAACGGTCAGACTCCCATGACCCTAGCTGACAAGAAGGCCATGTGGGGTTTAGGGTTTAGGGTTTAGGGTTTAGGGTTTAGGGTTTAGGGTTTAGGGTTTAGGGTTTTTCCGATATGAGGGGGCACCTTGTTGGGGTCCTTCTTATCATGGAATCCTACTGTTCGGGGTCTATTTGTTAGGGGTCCCCCATTTTCGTAAACTCCCGTTTGTTACGGGTGGGACAGAGAAGCGGTTGAAGCAACGCTGAGGCAGTTCGAGCCCTTGTCTTTCAGTGTCTCTGTCTGTCTCTCTTTACGGGTGATCTTCGCATCGGTGCAGTTGCTGGTGCTTCAGTGGTCATTGCCTTTTTGTCGTTTCGTGCTGGGTGGGAGGAGGGCACTGGCATTCCGTGAAGGCTAACCGGGGCTGGGAACCCATGATTTACGTCTAAGCCTCTATAAGCCCAGATCATCCCAAATCAGGGCTTTTGCCCAAGCCTTAAACCACCGACCCTGCAGGACACCGACCTGGCGCTGTACATTTACACCAGGATGCGACGTGGCCGAAAGCACGCAACAACTTCCTCTGGTACCCGAAGCCCTCAACCCCTTAGCCCGTACGCGCAAAAGCTGCCCAGCCTGGGCCTCACGTGTGAGGCTGAGGGATGTCCCGAGCTCGGTACTTACTCCCTGCTAGGAGTAGGGGTTGAGCAGTTGGCCTTTGGGATGCCCGAAGCCATGGGGGTTGTGTCCGGAGGGGTGTTGCCAAGGACCGGAAGCAAACATGCGAGCTGGTCAGAGACGGCGCAGAACCCCATGCTCCCCGGGATGAACTGTTGGAGGGACTGTGGAGGGAGTTTTCTTGGTGGAAGAACATCACCCTAAGTCCAAGTAAGGGCCCTCCATAATACGCCGACGCAGTATACTCCTTCTTAATCAACTTGTGGGACCCCACCCCCCCGGCCAAACCCTAAACCCTAATTACCCCCAGAAACTCTAAACCCTAATCCCTGAACCCCAAAAGGAGAAAGGGTACTGTACCCCCAACTTAGGGGAACCCCCAGTTGGCCATAAAGTTCCCCAACATTTCCTGGCGTTTCCGGCTCGGGTCGGCTCAGGTTCCTGACGTTGCTTCGGCCTCAGCCGTCGCCAGCCCTTCCGTGTAGCGGCCTGTGCTCCAAGCCTACGAAACCTACTGAGCCTACCAAACCCCCAAAACCCCAAAACGCCCTAAACGCCCTAAAACCCTAAACCCTAAACCCCAAACCTACTAAACCCCCAAAACCCCAAAGCCCTAAAACCTGCTAAGCCCTAAAACTCTAAACCTTAAGCCCTAAAGCTTAAACCCCAAAACCCTGAAACCTACTAAAACCCAAACCGTACTAAGCCCCAAAACCCTAAAGAAGCCACAGTCTGCATTGCGGGGCGGGCTTCGTTTTGACCACTCAAGATCCATGTGCCCCTGAGACCTTCATGCAGGGTTTAAGGTTTAGGGTTTAGGGTTTAGGGTCTGGGGTCTAGGGTTTAAGGTTTAGGGTTTAGGGTTGAGGGTTTAGGGTTTCGGGTTTAGGCTTTAGGGTTTAGGGGCACAACCCTAAGCAACTATGAACATCCCAAAGCCCTCAAACGCGCGCGTCCTTGCCGAGGGCTGCCATTCTTGGCTGCGCCTGCTTCGTGAACAGGCGGAGCTGTCGCACGGGTTTAGGGTTAAGGCTTTAAGGGTTTAAGGGTTAAGGGTTAAGGGTTTAGGGTTTAGGGTTTGCGACAATTGCTTTTCTTTTGTTTGTTGATTCCGGCGTAAGGTTGCCTTTGGGGTTTCAGGGTTTCAGGTTGAGAGTTAAAGAGTCCAGGGTTTCAGGTTTGGCAGAGTTTAGCTAGGTGTCAGGTTCCGGGAAGTTTGCGGGAGTTTAAAAACTCATCAAGTGTAGGAATTGGGCTTGAAGGCTTTCCATGATACAAGAGCACAAGAAGAGCTCCACTGCGGCGTAGTG